CCTACTTACTACTACCTACTTACTACTACCTACTTACTACTACCTACTTACTACTACCTACTTACTACTACCTACTTCCTACTACCTACTTACTACTACCTACTTACTACTACCTACTTACTACTACCTACTTACTACTACCTACTTACTACTACCTACTTACTACTACCTACTTACTACTACCTACTTACTACTTCCTACTTACTACTACCTACTACCTACTACCTACTACCTACTACCTACTACCTACTTACTACTTCCTACTACCTACTACCTACTACCTACTACCTACTACCTACTTACTACTTCCTACTTACTACTACCTACTACCTACTACCTACTACCTACTACCTACTGCCTACTACCTACTACCTACTACCTGCTACCTACTACCTACTACCTACTTACTACTACCTACTTACGACTACCTACTTACTACTACCTACTTACTACTACCTACTTACTACTGCCTACTTACTACTACCTACTTACTACTACCTACTTACTACTACCTACTTACTACTACCTACTTACTACTACTACTACTTACTACTACCTACTACCTACTTACTACTACCTACTTACTACTACCTACTTACTACTACCTACTTACTACTACCTACTTACTACTACCTACTTACTACTACCTTTTACAATGTAACCTTGGGAACCTTGAGGGAACCTTTACAATGCAACCTTGGAAAGCTTGAGGAAGCCTTGACAATATAACCTTGGAACCCTTGAGAACCCTTTACAATGTAACCTTGGGAACCTTGAGGGAACCTTTACAATACAACCTTGGGAACCTTGGAAAACTTGGGAACCTTCAGGGAACCTTGAAGAAACCTTGAAGGAACCTTGAGGGTACCTTTTGGGAACCTTGAGGGAACCTTGACAATCTAACCTTGGGAATCTTATAGAAACCTTTGCAATGTCACCTTGGGAACCTGGACCACGTTTACTTGGGAACCTTTACTTGGGAACCTGGGAACCTTGACAACCTTTACTTGGAAAACTTGGGAACCTTGCAGGGAACCTTGAAGGAACCTTGAGGGAACCTTTTTGGAACCTTGAGGGAACCTTGAGGAACCTTACTTGGGAACCTTTACTTGGGAACCTGGGAACCTTTACTTGGGAACCTGGAACCTTGACTTGGGAACCTGGGAACCTTACTTGGGAACCTTTACTTGGAACCTGGGAACCTTGGGGGAATGGGTTTTGGAGCTGCTCCGGTCTGCTCCGAAACCTTTACTATGGCTGAAGACCCCAAAGCATTCTGCTGTTGGGGAATGATGCTCCATAGGCTTCCATCGAAGTCTACGGACCCAGCAGATTTACATCGGGAAAACCAGTGGAATGCTGTGGGGCAAATGAGCCAAATCTGCGGAACCAGCTGTAATCCCGTCCTGGAGTTATCCCATCACTGGGGGAAACCCATCACAATCATCCTTAGGGGAGTGGCAAAGACTTCCGCCGCAAGAAACATACCCATTTTTCGTGGCAATCCAGGTTTTCTCTTGGCCAAGTCCCCATTCTTCACTGGATCTCCCCATCGCTGTCAAATCTACCAGCTCTGCCTCTACACAAGGGGATCTAAACCAACTTCGCCAACCCTCTGGCAATTTACCTGTGGGAAATTCACCATTTTCGAATGGAAATTCATCGTCGATTTATATGGGGGTTACCCTCTGGTAAACTAACATAGCTATGGAAAATCACTATTTTTAATGGGAAAATCCACTATAAATGGCCATTTTCAATAGCTATGTTAAATTACCAGAGGGTATATGGGGGTTACATGGGCATACCATAGCCATGTTACCAGCACAGCATCCTGCCGCCCCCGCACCCTGCAGCTTTCAGCTCTTTCTCCAAGTCTTCGATGGCAAGAACCTCGCAGCACGAAATCCAAATCATCCCAGCGCTGTTTAGCCTAAACCCAAGCAAGATCGAAATGTTTTTTTATCCTAATAAAATTGCAAAAAATGGTAGTACATCACTGTTCTATCTTTTGGGGGGATTCATGTGTGTATATACGTGTATATATATATATATACATATCATCATATATCATCATATATCCCAATGATACACCCCCATTGATACTGGGGATGATATCCCAATGATGACCCAATTCGTTCCAGAAGATCCTGACCGAGGGGTACACTGTTCGATTGGTGAAGAAGCCTGGTAAGTCTCCAATGGTAGGTTATGCCACCTATGAATGGATGATGATAATGGTTTCAAACCAGTTAGACCAGTCTAGGATCTGTGGAATTATTCTCCAAGTAACCATGGTGATAATTTATGGCATGAACTTGGGGGTCAACTGGGTGGATAGTGATATACTCTTGAATGGGATAAACATGAGTGATGGATTATTTAAGCGGGTACTAATTGGTATGCACAGATAATACTCAAAAATAATCGAACTATGCACCGGTTTTTCTTGGCGCTGAAGCACTTGAAACCAGAACCAAGCTTCCTAATCAGACACTGCAATCAAGTGGTGGGAGCAGGTTCATGCGAGAAAATCAAGAAGTGGAACAAGGACAATGAAAAAAAGAGAGGCATAAACCCAATCTATGAATTTCAGGGACAGAAATGGTGGCAAAAGATAGTAAAACAACCAACGGCCCCCTCCCACGAACCAGGAGCACCAGGATGTTTTTCCACCCACGCCATCGCTCTGTACTTGCGGGATCATCCCACTGATTATCAGTGCTTTATAAACCCATAAGCCATATATCACTGGGCATATTCATAGATATTCCATACATTTATGTATGTATATATATATGTGTGTATATATCTATTTATTTATTTGTTTAATTATGTATTTATTTATATAACTGGGGTATACTGTACCGTAATCTGGTTCTTACTGTCCGACTATCCACTTTCTAACGAGGATGTACCCCCAAGTAGAGAGTTCTCCAATTTTGCCGTTCACTCTTAGGGTGGTGGCCATGTCCAAGTTCTTTTCTCACTTTGGGCCCCGCGGCCCATGCATGAGCATCTACAACGGGGAGAATGTCACGAGTGGTTTTCTTCCTCTACAAGACTCTATCTATACATATATACAAATTCTTTTATCACGGTTGTCTTTGGCATTTTTGGGCACCACAACAACAAATGATCCCTATTCATATTGAATCACTAGTATATTCGAACATAGTAGATGGGAATACTTCGAAATAAATGATATTGGATATCATATGGATATTAACATTATATTAGAGTGTATTGTATGGGATACTTACTTCAAATTCATCCTACATAGATTAATCCATATACCCTCTGGTAAACTAACATAACTATGGAAAATCACCATTTTGAATAGGTAAATGATCTATAAATGCTCCATTTTCAATAGCAAACTCTTAAATCACCGGAGGGTCAAAATCATCTGCACCATGAGCTGTCCATCCCTTCGTTGGATGCCTCGCCCGAAATCACCGAATGCTGAGGTGAATTCACCTCACAAGCGACCACTGACGCCCACGGCATGCTGCTAAAATGTCTTGTTGAAGTCACACAGTGTGTTCCTTCTGAAGCATCACCATTGGTTCATGATGGTTCATGTTTCTCACAAAGTTCACCATTTTCGTGTGAATCACCGTTTTCTGAGGTAAATCACCATGTTCTATGTGGTAAGCCCAGTATAGCCCAGTTTCATAATCCCCAAGTCATCCCCCATGTGTTGCTTAAACGAACGCCGAGCTGCAGCGGCCAACCAAAGACCCTTCCGCTGACCAGTTGCCACCGCTTCCAACTCCTCAGCGGTCCTGAGCTCGCGCATTTCGGACCGAGTTTTGGGGGAAAAAGGTGGCAAAATAGATGGTTTTTGGCCATGAAAAATGTGCGAAAACCATTATATAACCAATCATGAAATGGGAAATATATGAGATAAACCATTAGTATATCTATATAACCATTATATAACCATTCTACTTGGAGATATACTAGTTACCATGTGAAAATATGGAGAATCATGATATCCTGCAGTAATTTGTTGCAGATTGCTAACTGCAAAATCACCATCTTTAAGTTCGGTAAATTAAATGTGCCGTTTTAAACGTAGCTATGTCAGCGTACCAAAAGATATGTGGTGTCAAGCTAGATGGGAGTTTATGGTCATTCATCCCGTTTCATGGAAAGCCTTTTACCCTCTGGTAATGACTAACATAGCTATTGAAAATCACAATTTTTAATGGGAAAATTCACTATTTCAATGGTGATGTTCCATAGCTATGTTAGTCATTACCAGAGGGTATATATATATATTATATTATATATATGCATATATTGGGCATATACATCCCGAACTTCATGGATTGATCGAATTGATCATCATCCCCCCATTTTTGAGCAATTTTGACCAAAAAAACTGAAATGACCATGGCAGCCATGGCACATATGAAAATATGGAGAAATCATCCACAAATGGATAGAGAAGGAGTCTTTGATTGGAAAAACATGGGGATATCGATATTTTATGATATTTTACCAATGAAAATGTGAGGTGCAAAACCAATCATCATGGGGATACAGTTGGAGATATACGAGGATATAAGGGGATACGTACGTATACACCAGTTTGATATCAGACAAAAATTGGATCACCCAAAACAACAATTCATATGGGAATCATGATGGAATAGCCCAAAGGAACTGTGGAATATCTATGAATACCCTCTGGTAAACGAACATAACTATGGAAAATCACCATTGTTAATGGGAAAACTCACTATAAATGGCAATTTTCAATAGCTTTTTGTATGTTTACCAGAGGGTATCTTATGAATTACTTACACTATTTGTGAGAAGTGTCCAAACAAGTTTTTGTTCAAGACCCCAATGTTGCCAGGGGAACTTTAGATCCTTTCGATGGTGAATCCTGGGGATGTGTATCCTCAGAAACCACTTGTTGAAGGAGGAGATACCCTCTGGTGAACTAACATAGCAATGGAAAATGGCTATTTATAGTGGATTTTCCCATTAAGAATGGTGATTTTCCATTGCTATGTTAGTTCACCAGAGGGTACTAATTTGATCATCTCTGGATAACTGCAAGAGCGTACTATTCCTTTAAAATGACCATGAATCGCGCAAACTAAGCCGTCAACTTCGCACAACTTTGGTTTTCCATTAAGTATCACTAAGTATATAGTCCAGCTTTTTATTTTTGCTGAGGCTGATATTTTGGGAGGTTGTTAAATACACATATACATATATATATATATATATATTTATCAATTTTTATCAAATGTTTATAAAGTTGTGGTTTCTATATAGTTCTACAACTGTTTGCTATCATATATCCTATAGCTTGGTGATAGCATGGCTGAAAGAAAGATGCTGGGATCCTGACTGCCTGACGACTGATCAGCGGCCGACCCTTTTCGAGAAAAGTTTCATGCGACCGGCAAGGTCAAAACAATGTGGCATTCATTGGGTTTATATCATTATAATACAAGTAGGAGTACCACATGATATGAACATCTTGGCTTTACCACACATTCGACATATTTTTTGAGGTGACGCATCAGTTGATGCAGCGAGATCTTCAAGAGTTATTCACCAGAAGGGGATGGTCCCGTTTCGAGCCTTTTCATTGGGGGTATATCCCATCAGACACAGCCAAATCTGGTTGTCGGTTTCAACCTACCCCTCTGAAAAATGATGGACTGAGTAACAGTTGGGATGATGACATTCCCAATATGATGGGAAAGTCATAAAAAATGGTCGAAACCACCGGCAAATCATATGTTTTCTTGGTTATACCGTTCTACCTCCCATGAAATCTCCACAAATCCCGGTTGATGATTCAATCCTCACCATGAAATCTCCATGTCTCCACCAAGTGGCCAGTCAGCCACCGACAACATGGCCCCCTCTTCGGCCAAGTCTTCGGTCGACCTGAGGTTTTCGACATCCCACCCACCGCTAGGGTAGCCCGGACGGGTACCCCAGAGGGGAATCATGGCGAAATCCAGTAGTAACCAATATGATCCACTAGGTTATTAACCACTATCATCCACTATAGTGAACCACTATTAACCACTATTATCCTCTATAGTTAACCACTATTAACCACTATAGTTAACCACTATTCACTGCACCAACATTTCTGGCACTTCTTGAGCCGCCCCACTTGGCCCGCGCCGCCACGATTTGCAAGGCCGCCTCCAGCGTCAGGTAGCCACCCACCACGGCGGCGGCGTATCTGAAAAAAACGGGGCTTCAAAGGACGGAAAATGGTGGATTTAATAGGAAATCATGGGATTTGTATGGAATTTATATGGAATTTGTAGGGATTTGTATGTTTAAGTTTTTGTCATGGAGTTTTTTATGTTTTTTGTATGTGAGATGAATTCTATTGGATTTATATGGAAAATATCGTGGAATATGTTTTTGGATGGTGGGATAGTAAGGGGATATGGGATAGTAATGGGATAGTAATGGGATAGTAATGGGATATATATATATATATGGGTAAATCATAATATGTCACTAACCTGAATAGTTCGGCCATCTTCATGATTTCCCTTATGAATCAATGTTATAACAACAACTAATTTACCACCATCCCTGGGTAGGGCATGGAAAATGCCAAATGACCAGCCAGCAGCTTATGGGGAAATGTGGAAATAAAACCAGCCACAAGTCAGATTCATGAATATGAGTGAAGCCCAATAAATGATTCAGTAAATCCATAAATCCAATCATCATGGGGATTTTTCGGCCAGAATTGGTGATTTCACCGTGAAAAGATTGATCTAAGCACGAAACATGATGGAATTAGCTAGTCTTTATGAAATGCACGTTGTAAAAAAGCAACAAGAATTGCAAACATATCCGGGATAAACCGACAAAGATGGTGATGCTCACTTAGTTAACATGGATGACAATAGGTGGTTGCAACACTATACAATCAACAAACATGTGGAATTACACCATCTTAAAATAAAAGAACGTGGGATATGACCCAGGAATCATGATATAATTGTGAACGTATTTACATATCTAATATTATATATACACACATATACGTATACATATATATATATATATGTGTGTGTGTGTTAATATACCTTGTGAAATCAACCCCAATACAAGTGGCAACTCAATTTGATCGCCCAAAGAAATGCTGTGGTCGCTGATAAAACCCGAGCTGGCAGCCGCGGTCGCTACTCATGTTTAGCATGTTTAGCTAGGTACTGTAAAGTAGTTAAAACAATATTAAACCATCCCCAATTCCACCAATTTTATAGGTGGTATGATTACCTCCCAAATGGGTGGTTTATTCTTGTTCTTCCCACATTATCTAAAATGGTGTCCCAAAAAAAAAACGCTGTCCCGTCCCAACCGTCCCGAAGAAGTTTCTCTCGTGTCCGACGGAAGCAGTTGGATGTCTAACATTGTATGTTTGTCCAAAAATGATGGGGAAAAGCCTTTTAAAAAGTGATGGATGTTGATGGTGTTTTGATGATTTTCCCTATGAAAATGCTAGTTTTGGGGGGCCGGGCCCATTCTCCCTTTTCAGAGACACCCAAATGAAGCCACTTTGGGTGATGGATTGTGACCTCTGAAACCTCTCATGCTTTTGACCGAAGAGTAGGACAACTCAAAGACCAAAATGTTGAATGCTGCCACTCACTGAAATAACTAATCTTGATCTTTGGGGTTACTGGGAAACTCACCAACTAATATATATATATATGTAGACAGAGAGAGCGAGAGAGATTAATATGGTTTTAGGATGAATGTTCAAGTTCCACCTTGATACAATCTGGATACAATCTGGATCACTCTTTTTTTCCTACGTCTTTGGTGAAATACCACTGGTTTCGTGCCAGCACCGTGACACCCACCCTTTGCGCACTCACCCAAGGAGTGGCCAGCACAAGCCACAGGTTTCACCTTTCTCCGCACCATGGAAGCTGGTGGAGTTGGTGATGGGAAGGATGGGAAGCTGAAAATATTGCCAGATGGAATTTCACAGCGCCCTGGAGATTTTGATGCTTTAACACTTGAACCGACAACTACAGCATTTTCAATGCTTCAAAGATGGAACCTGAAAACAGCCAACGGCCATTTTGGGCATCTCATCGTCAAACTTGGGCTGATGCTGGGGCAAAAGGCCGTGTGATATGCCAGGTATTTCTTTGGAATCACGATCTCCACTTGCTCACGCCTCTCACCAAATCCCGTCACTGAGCATATGCCTTTATCCAATTGAACCGGGACTCCCCAAGAACCAAACATCGGTCGCAATTGTTCCTTCTAACATCCCGTCATATTTCAGTATATCCCCTAGATTTTACCATTTTATCCCCAAAATAAATGGTGAATAGTCGTAAATGTCCTAATAAATGGATGTAATCGTCCATTCAATCCCTACATTCGTGAGAAATTGTCCATTCAATCCCCATTCAATCCTCATTCAATCCTTGCATTAGTAGGAAATTCACCATTGAATCCCTACATGAGTCACATACCCTCTGGTAATTTAACAGTTCGCTATTGAAAATGGCAATCTATAGTGAGTTTTTCCATTAAAAATGCTGGTTTTCCATAGTTTTTTGTATGTTTACCAGAGGGTAAGTAAGATTTTCCAATGGCGTCCACTGCGCGCTTTGCAGGCCACCACTCCCGTCCCGGTCGATTCCAGGCGTTCCCACATCAACGGCCAGCAAGGTCTGAGCCAAGGCCTAGGCCCAAACTGAAGATCTCAGTCTGGAAATTGACCAAAAACTTAGGAATCAAAAGTGTGAGTGGATTGCATATCTGTATATATATATATGTGTGTGTGATGTGCTCATGATACATATATATATATATATGTATGTATACATATGGGTATATGCATAGACGTTCGTTGTATGATTCCGATACGTACAATTTATGTGCAGTAAGGTGTATAAGGTGTCTGTGTCATTCACCAAGACCTGGAAATGCCATAGTCCAACAGCACTTTTCGACCGAGTTGTTGCTACCCCGTTTTTTCGGGGCCACCGCGCGGTCGCGCGGAGAGTGAAACTTGCTGATGAAAAATGAAGCATGTTTTTTTCTTGCTGAAATTGCCAAAAATAGTTGGAGATGGCTAGCCAGTTTCATAATGTTCATACATGGATGCACAAATAGGTATTTATAATGTATATATAATGTATATATAATGTATATATAATGTATATATATATATATCCCCCCTTTTAAGGTATATATGTACACATAATATGTATCTATGTATACACACACATAATTTATATTCGCGTCACTGGGATGATGACCAACATGGCTAGACTTATCTGGTAACTTAATGGAGATTTAACATGATACAATCTCATAGACCCTCTGGTAATGACTGACAGTTTGCTACAGATAATTGCTTTGTTTTATGTTTAAATCATCGAACTAAATAGGCCATCTCTACCATAGCAAACATTAGCAAAGTGTTAGATTACCAGAGGGTAAATCCAAAAAAAAAAAATCTTATCCCATTATATTTCAGGATCCATTAATATCCCCACTATTAATGAGTTCAATGCAATCCCGTTGCGATGGGCAGCATTTTCAGTCGGATATCCCCCAGCTTCAGCATATCAGTTATTGTTTGCGTGCATACATCCATATGCATGTGTGTGTAGATGAGATGCGTATGTGTCTATTAAAAAAAACAACATATATATATATATATATGCATACATAATAGTCATATATATATATAGAGTCATATATGTATATAGTCATATATACAATCACATATATATATATATACATACATATTCGTATATGTATGTAATCATACTAATGTGTATATACATGCTGTGCTCCTATCCTACCGTTGTTACCCACTGGTCGGCCAGGGTGCGAAAGCCTGGCCAGTTCCCTGAAGTCCCTATACCCAGAATGGGTATAGGAACCATCGATAAAGAAGTGGGTTTTCCCATTAAAAATGGTGATTTTCCATAGCTATGTTAAATTACCAGAGGGTAATGTATATCTGTATGATATGTATACTATGGCTGGATATCATGATATGATTGATATGATCTACTGGTCGTGGATATATATATATATATTATGATATATGATGGTAAGTATGATATTTTGATGCCAAATAGCAATGGCTGGATCATCTCTCCAAATAGCAAGACCAAAGATATCACTGGACTTTCCACCAATACTTGGGACATCTTGGGACCCAGAAACGCACTTGAGAAGCTGGTTTACCCTTTGGTAACAGTTTGCGAACTGGAAAATCACCATCTTTAAGTTCGGTAAATCAACTATTTCGATTAGGGCCATGTTCAATAGCTATGTCAAATTACCAGAGGGTACAAGTTCTCTCTTTTTTACCCATTGATATGACTGTGGCTCAAAAGTGGGGTATCCAGGCACAGAATTGATAGATTTATTGGCACTGAACCATTAAAAACTGGGCTGGTTCATAAGTTCACGATTTTGAGCCATGCTCCATGGCTTGCTGGAAAATTCTCAATTAAGTTCGATTATTTTCCCGGTCAGCCATGTTTGACTACCAGTTGGTTAGTTGTATATCATCCAGTTTTATATCTCATTCTACTTCCCCACTGGTCAAACCATATTAAATCCCTATTAAGTCCCATCAAAACCACCATTTCAAATGGTTAAATCACCCCTTGCTTCACATGTCATGTCGTTTTTTTGCTTCTCCGAGCGGGTCCCGGAGAAGGGGCTCACATGTCGCACGCCACGAAGGCCGCAATGCGGTGGACAGGTAGAGCCAAGCCGAAGCGTCCCAGCAAATGTCGTCCTCCAGGGTGATGGGATCCACTGGTGGCAAAAAAAAAGATGGCTGATCTTGGTTTGCGGTGTATCACGGCAAATATGGTATCCATCTATATATATATATAAATAATATGTATATATATAATATACATATATATAGTATTATATATATATATAGTTATTATGGTTTACAAAGCAACATAACTGGTGGGGCACCATAGTTTTTTTGAAGGCAAAGCCTTGGTTTTCCGGGTCTTTTCCCCGAACAAAGCGGGATGAGAGATGTGTGGGGAGGGGATGTTCCTTGGTATTTCTAGCTCAAAAGGTTGGGTGGTTTAAGGTTAACCTGACATACAAAGTTCAAAGAATGACCAGTAAGCTATTGGTTTTGCGGGTCGACACTTTCAGGGCTCAAAGATACAAGGGGCCGGGAGATCAGGTGGGGATAGATTAACATGTGCGCCATCCATTGTAGTTTGATGTAGTTTGACCATGCTAGCCAGGGTACATCATACTAGTACAACCGCATTTACCAGTATGGCTCCAGTTGAAGCAAAACTTCGCAAAATTCCCCCAGTGGCCAAAGTGATTTCACCTGACAAAACATGGAACCCCCCAGTTGAACTAACCAGGTCTCTTTAGGATTCCAGGTTTGACATTTTTATGGTAAAATCAATTGAAGCCTTCTGCCATAAGTTGGTAATTTGGGGTCGCAAAAGGGGTATTTACACCATCTTCAAGTTGTTGGCAGGACATCTCTGGGTAAATTAAAATAATTCACTAACCTGAATTAAGGCCATTTTGGGATGATTCCCCTTACTAACTAATGATTATAGTGAGGTCACAGTGAGGTCGTTATAATTTACCCAGACATCTGCATCAGCCTCAATGTGGCTTAGTTGGTTCTGCCCACGGTTTCCCATTCCGTCGAAGACACGCACCGGATGGTCTGACATCAAAGATAAAAAACCGCCAGCCACAACAAACCCAGTTACCCAGCCAACCACTCACTGGCATGGAAGGCCTACTTTGGCAAAATTTATCTAGGTGTCAATGACCATGGTTTCAATACCCTTATCCCATTCATAGTCTGGCTAGATGTCCCTTTTGGAAAACACCACCGGCATCACAAGTTTTTGGCACTGCAAGATTGAGAATTTCCAGCCAAGTCTCTAATTGATTCGTCTTCAAATTCATTGGGTACCCGCTTCAAAGACATCAGCAGCACCTTCAGCGAGTAGAGAATGGGCGCCGGCTGCCTCAGTTCTTTGAGAGCGCCTCCTGGCTGATGGGTAAAAACTGACGCGGCAATGGGGCTACAACATCTGTTTTTAGTAGAAGACCAGGACAATCCATTTGGAGAGTTGATACTTACTTGTATTATACTCCAATCATCCCAGTATAAATAGTATGTCAACTGTCAACCCTTGTTTCGGCATAGCCTTCTTCCAAGTATATAATATAGAGAGACCCTGCCAAACACGGGGTTGGGAGATTATGTTCCTCCTCTTGAATGGGAAATTCTCAGTGCCGTTGTTGGTTGGAGCATGGAGAAAAAGAAAACGTATTGAACTATCACAAGCCATGGAAAAAAAAAACATCCAAAAACACCAAACATGAATCAAGAAGGAAACAAACGCAAAAGCCCATCAAAAACAGTAATATCAGTATACATATACATAAATATATGACTATGTGGCGGTTGATGCGGTTGATCTAAATTCCTTTATCTATCTGCAAACGGCCATTCTTCGCGAATAAAAATGTTCTCTTCGCGGGGTTGCAGCTATCCACTTTTGTGCTGTTGAGGCGCACTCAAATAGCATGCAAACGGTAACTGTGTGAGCGATCCAGGACAGCCAAGGGTAGCATTGTTTACCACGTTCCCTTGACTTGCCGCTGCAAAGGTGCAGTGTGGGCTACTGGTTTCCATGGACACCTTCTCTTTCACCACTGCTTTCGCGGAACTTTCGCGAGACTTTCGCGAAAAATCATTTGCAAATCAACGGAAAAATCCACACCCTGAACCGTGGTTGGGGGTTCAGCTGCTCCTGATTGCACTATAGTGCTTGGGTCTATTCTCTGCCTGCCGATAACAATTCAGAAGGTTCTCACTTCACCTAGGAAAATAAGAGATTGAGGCGCTTAAGCAACCTCATCAAGATACACTTTCGCCATTTCTTTCCCCGCATAAAAATGTTCTTTCGCGAACTCAGAAAAGAACTTTCGCCGGGTCTCATGTTGGAACCCTAGCGGCCGCAATTTAAAACCCTTACATGGACCTTTAGATCAACTCCCACATATAAATATACATAAATATATGACTATATATATATATTATCATATATATCATATATATATATATCATATATATATATGATATAATACATATATCATATATCATATATATCATACACACTATATGATATAAAACCATCTAACAGCCATGGCAAGGCCCACCACCTCGCCAGGCTGCATGGCCGGATGCGCTGGCTCCACGTCGGGCACCTCGGGTACCGCGTCGTTGGCGTCGCGGTGGAGGAAGAAATCAGCGAGGCCAGCGCACTGGAAATGCCTTGGAGATCAGGTATAACCTCTGGTTAGGTCAAAATAGCTATGGAAAGTTGCCATTTATAGTGGATTTTCCCATGAAAAATGGTGATTTTCCATAGCTATGTTAGTTTACCAGAGGGTAACCTCTGGAAAACATAGAAAAAAACCATGGAAAATTGCTATTGATAACATTGAAATGGCTATTCATAGTTGATTTACCCTCTGGTAATTTAACATAACTATTGAAAATGGCTATTCATAGTTGATTTACCCAAAAATGGTGATGTTACTAACAGTTTGCGAACTGGAAATCACCATCTTGAAGTTCGGTAAATCTACTATAAATGGGTAATTGTCCATAGCTATGTTAAATTACCAGAGGGTATAACTGATAGAGAATCACTTTGGAGAAATACGAGGTTACTATGTTGAGATATCATAGTCCAACTATAAGTTGGGATGTACCATCAGTGAGAAGCAGTTATTGATAAGCATTAGGTGTATATATATATATATATACACACTTACATACTATGAGTTACATTGGATATGAGATGTTTCACCACAGTTATAGGGTTTATATAGCAACTTTTGGAGTTTATTGCCCCGGCTGTACCTGTTCATCATATTTAATCATTAATAATCCCTTCCCCGTTCATATTAGACACCCCCAAACAAAACCATGGTGGATATACGGAATAAAACCACATACTTGGGACCAAAGAATGTGAGTGCTTAATATTAGGGGAATTGGATTAATCATGAATCATAGCAGTCGAAACTCCTCGAACTAAATGAGATACTTTCCAGCAAACCATGTTTGATCACCATAGGGTAGCAGCTTTTTTTCCTGGAGATCTAATGGAATCATTCTGTGATTAACCCTTCCAGTGAACTAACAACAAGATTCTTGGGAAATCCGGAAATCGGTGTTTTTTGTTTTTCCAGGAAATGGTCTGGATGTCTGGTCGATAAAAAAAAACGCATTCTGAATTGACTGGAGGGTATCATTCTAAATTTCGATTGATTATCAAATACCTTTGCCGCATTGCCCTCGAACCAGTTGATTTTTGAAGAAGGACCCCTGTTTATGTCAGAATATGTCAGAATGTATCGGAGGATGATACCAACGAATTTCAGAGGTTCCAAGAAACAATGTGTCTTTTCACCAGCACAACTTGGGTGAAAGACCAAGACAAAAATGGAATTGAACTGACCAAAATGGTGGTGCAAACATGACACTCAGCTGTACTAGTACTTGGGGATAGGATACTTGGGTGCACGGTTGGACCATGACCGCCGAACTCTTGAGTTTATCACCAATTGTTGGTTGAATTTCAATTTGTTGCTTAAATCCCCACTTCCATGAGTTGAATTCTCCTTTCTTGCGTCATGAGTTCCTCATTTTTCTTGTTTTTTTTTCATTAAAGTTGAAGTAGTTGAAGTTGAACCTCCATTTTTGATACGTTCAATCTCCGGGGTTAGTTTAGAGTTTAATCTCAACTGGAATCGGTTGAAACCCATGGTTTTTATCGCTGGTCTACCCACCTGAGATCGAAGATGTCGGCGGGCAAGACCAATGGAGAGAGGAAATTCGTCAACGCCCATTTGTCCTTGGGACCAGATCTGCATCCTAATTTCTTTGTGGCAAAATTGAGAGAAAGCATCATCGAAAACCGAAAAACTGAATGTCGTGAGGCTAAAAATATTAGTCAGTTGGGATTATTATTCCCAATATATGGAAAGTCATAATCCAAATGTTCCAGTCACCACCAACCAGTCATCTTTAACGTTTTGGAAAAAGTTCACAAGCACCATGGTCCCATGGTCAGCCGCGGCGGGCCCACAAAGCCAAAACATCCCAATGGTTCATCTCGAGTTTTCTCCCCTGGGGGAATACCCCAATGGAAAATTCATAGTGTTTCTTCTTTGGAATTGGGCCCCAAAATGCGGTCTAAATGGTAAAAATGATGCTGATGATGGTGATGATGATGACCTTTTGGAATTGGGGGCATCCCATTTTCACGCAAAGCCCTTCGACATCCCGGATCCAAGTGATCCAAGTCTCTGGAACCGGCTGCGAATTGTCCAGGTCCCAAACATCCATGGGTGGGGCCTTGTGTCTGGCGAAACAACGGGTGTCACATGCCTAATGTTGGTTGATATCCTCAAAGTGGATGATGATATTCCCAGTCAAACCAGTAGGAACCAGGTAGTACAACACTAGAAATCCACAGAGGATCGTCCCAGTAGCCCCCGAACACCAGGCCACATTGGCTAAAGAAAGGCCTCTGTCTCTGGGTTGTAGACATGTCGAGTTTTTTTTGAAGTTCAACTCCAATCCTTGTTGCTCAGATTCCCTTATTGAAGTTGGTGAAATGTTCGTCTTGCTTTCTAAAAACTCCATGTCCGTGCATTAAATCATATCAAAGTATATTCGCACCCTGTTTTTGTCCTAAACTTTGACACTTTGACCTATAGTAATCTGCAAAAAAATATCGAACAGTTTCCTCCTACTTTTTAATTCTACTTTTCTATCTTTTTGTTGGTTAGACATCGAAATTTCAGGACTCCAGCCGCCTCTCCGGAAGGTCCAGGCTCATCATCACCTGTTGCCCCGTGAGTTCACACGTACAAGACCGAGTTTCAAAGGGAAAATATGTAGGATGGATGGTCATCAAAATTCATGGGTGATCATCATCATCATCATCATCATCATCATCATCATCTTCATCTTCATCGTCCTCCTCCTCCTCATCATCTTCATCATCAATCATCCTCATCATCATCATGTTAACACCCTAAAGCCTAAAGGCCGATTTCCTCATGTAAAGCCCTTTTGGCATTATCCGATTTGTATTGTTCCATGTGTAGAACATGTCTGATCATGTAGTGGAACTGGTAGTTGACATCGTTCCAGTGATGTCGCAGTGGTCGGTCTCTATCCAGAATCATGATCAATCCATGATAGAACTCACCCAAAAAACAAACACCCCCAAGGGAAACCAGGCTTTTACATATGGGGATTGCGTCACTTATTTGGGATCATATGGGTGAAAATATGCTGGATACCTCCATCTTGAAGCGTCTCAATGGTTAGAAAACGATGATATTCCATTGATATTCCATTGGAATATGACAGGTACACGATTTTCAGACAAACCCATATAGGCACTGTTTCATGGGTTTCATCCACATTCCCAGGCTGCCCAGGTACCCCAAATCAACGTCAAAGGCCGCGCAGTGCGCAGGGCTGCTGCCATCGCCTGTCGGCGAAAATGACGATGGGCTATGGCTACAAGCAGACAAATTAATATAATATAATATAACATAACATAACATAATATGATATGATATAAAATAATATATATATATATATGCATATCGTTATACATATATATATATATATACACATATACATATATATATATATATACATATATATATACATATATATACATATATATATACATACATATATGTATATATACATATATATATATATATCCAAAAATAATGGATATATTTAAGTTATACTTCGATAATCAAATAATCAAACGTTGTTCCATCCAAATCACACGGAACTGTTTAGATAATGAAACAATGGAATATCTAGTCAAAATCCTATTTCTGTGTTTAAATTGTTTAAATATTATATTAGGGATATCATGAAGCAATACCTCTATAACAAGCTGATGTCTGGGTTTATCATGTCCTTCACAAAGTATGGCAAGTTGAAGGGGAAAATGCTGTGAAGTTCACGTTGGTGCCAAGGGGGTGCCATGCCCGGGATTTTCACGAAGGATTTCGATATGTACAAGGAAAAATGGCCATAGCTAGCGAATAACTAGCTCATAACCATGAGATTGGATCTAGAGCGAAGAAAATATGTGAAAATATATGATATAACTGATATAACCCATAGATCATTGGTTTCGATGTGCGGTGACGGAGTTTTGGACTTGCGATCACAAAATCGTACTGACCGCAGAAGATTCCAGGGGATGCAGATCCAAGAACCCTTGGAAAATTGATGTAACATCTGGTCAGATTGGTCAGTACAGGGATCTCTGGTATGTGTTAGTCTCATCTCATTTTTAGGGCTGGAAGATTTTCTGAAACCAACCAGGGCTCACCAATGAAAATGGCGAAGGTCTGGAGGGATCATCAGCACATTCTCAGGATCTAGACATCATGTGTTTTTTAATAGATATGAAACTACCACCCAAAGATCTTACGAGAAAACGCGTAACAAATTCAGCAACAAGAAACGCGCTTTTCTCGGGGTAAGTCTCATCATCTCAATGGCCGAATTGGTACCTGAAATTACCCTGTTGATCATCCATTGATCATCCTATTCAATATTCCATTAATCCCATTGGACCATTGAATCCAATTGAATATTGAATATTGAATATTCCATTGATCATTCTATTCCATCCATCATTCAATATTCCATTGAATCCCATCATGCTAACAGACCATGGGACCATTTCTAGATCACAAACTTCCCTGAAGCCTTTCCCCCATCCTTTCCATCTCCCTAAAATCATCATCACCATCCCCATCATCACCATTGAGCATTCCCCATCCCATCTGGGGATGGGTCAAAACCTTGTACCCCTGGTGAACATCAAAATAGCTGGTATTTATGGATGTTCATCCCACTAAAAATTGTGTTTTCATATGTATTGACTCATACCCATCTCGCCTTTTGAAAGAGCA